CAGTATTCGTGTTAAATATTATTTAACAAAAGAGTTGTAGCAGATACTAGTTTTCCATTTTTTGTGTGTTGTTTGGTCAGTTTGCCATTCGGGTGATGACTCCCAAGCAACGTAACTCTCGAAGTACATTGGAGTTTGTCCTTTGACCAGTGTAAAGTTTAGCACTCTCTTCATCCTCTATTCTATCACATTCTGCATGAGCATATAAAAATGTTTTTCTCACTGCCAACCTGATGTAAACTTATCAACCATCGCTACATTTTTCATCAACAATAAAATCAAATTTACCACTCCTTTTAATTTGCTGCATTCAGGTGATGTTTAATCTGACTGTGCCAGGTGGTTTGTTACACAGAACCATCTAGGAAGTCATCGTTGAAAACTGTTTGGAACGTGGCAGGAACTTTCAAAAAAGACTTGGCAGGTATTGGAGGAACTATCTGTCTCTAACCGTCCATCACAGGCTAACTTCAACTAATCAGATCGGGGCTTGGATTGAATACTGTTTTGGTCTGAGTGTGTAGTTAGTGTCTTTGTGTGTTTTGTTAGTTGTGTTCAGTTGTTCACTTGGCTCTCATTTGGGTCACTAAACTTTACAAATATTTGCTGCCTATTATATTTAATATAATAGGCAGCAATAAATCAGTAAAGATTAAGACTATAAAATGTTTCCTGATTGGCAGTCTCTGTTGGTATAAAGTGGTTTAATGTTACCTTTAAAATGTAATTGTCTATTGTCAGAGAGAAGTAATAATAGTAACCACATAGAGTCATGTTGCTTAACGAGCTAGTCATCATCCACAGCACAAACCACAAAAGGAAAGCAAAATTATGCTTTTAAAAGCCAAACAATATAATACATCCAACTCTGCCTCAGACATTAGTTAACTGGTAGATCATTATCTTGTTGAAGGAAACCAAAGGTTTCTACAATTCTAGACCAGCTATTACTTTCCATTTTGCGTATTATGATGCTATGACTTTTATAGCACAGTATTTTTGTAAGGAGGCAATATTTGGATCCAACTTGGCAGAAGAGAGAAAACAAGTTCCAGTCCTCGAAACAAGCACTCTTACTTGTGCTTTGATTAATTCAATGTTCTCCCTCACTTGGAAACAACAGTTTCTTTCTTCAGATAATCAGTTTTACAATATGTAATTCTGAACTCCTTACAGCTCTTTAACTTGTGCAACATGATCTGAAACCTTGCAGCTAAAGTTACTGTACCTGTATGCACATTGTAAGTGGACATATAGATAAAACAAGTAAACACCTCAGGCAAAAAGCCTTCACAATTAACAATGACCAGACAGGGACACTGAGTTTCTGCCAAACCATCAGTCTGATCTGCAGTCCAGAACTAAAGTGAACATGGTCCATGTGGAAATCATATACACTATTATTGAATGGTCAGGGTTTCGAATATCGTTCTGCAATTGTGTTCATATCCAAACTGAACAGTTTGTCCTCCCATTACAAAAATATGACCCCCGGGCAACAATGAAAGAATTTTCACAGTTTCACTTGGATTGTTTTGTTATTTGACACCACGGACATGATGATAAAGTTTCTGGGTTGTATGTCAGTCTTTAGTAATACACAGTAGCTGATAAAAGCAAAAGTACTAATGAGGGATTTCTCAATAAAATAAAAAAAAACATCAGATTTTTTGATTTCTTCTCAACTTTAAATTAGGAAGACAAAGAGCTCAGATGGTGGACACTGTGTCACTTAAAGTGAATCAAGGTAAACCAAAGCAGATCCACTTTCTGGGGTGTGGTTGGCTTCATAAGTCAACAGACGGATGAAACACTCCGCATGGTGTTAAAAAAGAAGTTGTGTATGGAGGTAACAAGTGCGTGTGTGTGACTTTCAATGCAGAGATGATATAACCAGTAACAATGTGAAGGTGTTAGTGTAAGCAGCAGTTTCTACATCAGTGTGCATCATTCATTCACACACACACTTATAAAACGCCCCCTTATTCTCATCTATGTACGCAGACAGGCATGTAAGAGGTCATTGACCTAGCGTGTAGGAGTGTATAATGAATGAAAATTAATTTAGTTTCAGTGTGGGTAGACTGTCAAATGATACTGTACATAAAGTAGCCATCATACACCAAACATACAGCACACATGAATGTGCAATATTGTATGATAAGAATTATTTTCACAATTAATTAATCATTTAATCTATTAAATGAGAAAATGTCACAATTCATAATGGTTCCTTTATATAATGATTGATTAATTAACTAATGGTTTCAGGTCAACTTCAAATTGCTTGTTTTATCTTATTTTAGAGGCTGGAATGGCCAAATGTTTGCAAACAATCTAATAAAGTACGATATTGAACATAAATGTTACTTTTGATGCATTGTACAGAGTTAATTTTCATCTACACTCCCCTGGCAGGTCACGATTAAACCATCAACACAATTAGGGAACAGCATTTAACAAACTAGACCAACAAGACAAAACACAAACAATGATACACATTACACACAATAGTACATTACACACACAAACACCATGTCACCACCATGTAAATGTCAGACATAAAAAGGATATTTCTATACCAAGAAAAGCAAATAAAATACAGAGACAGTGGTTACAGTCGAGGAGCTTTTAGCAGATTGAGTAGTTATACAATTTTATAAACGAGACAGATTTGTGTCTGTGTATAACATTTTTAATGGATCGACCCTCATTCAAATTTACAAGAATATCTTCTTTGTAAGAGATTGTACAGTACCCTTATGTCGCTCTGCCTTTGAGCAATCAATTTTTTCTGTGAAAACCACAACTCAGTGGAGCCAGACAACATAAAAACGTATAGCTCTTACAGCTTTAAAGTCAAACCAAAATATCTGCAAAACGTGACTCTGTAACCGTTGACTCATTTATTCATTTTGCTTGGTCTACAAATATCCTTGTTTTTTATGTCTAACAAACAAGGTGCTGACATGGTGTGAGTGTGTGTGATGTACTAGTGTGTGTAATTTGTATTATGTGTTTTGTCTTGTTTGTCTAGTTTGTCTAGTTTGTGTAGTGCTGTCATGTCATTGTGTGGATGTTTTAGTTGTGACAGGGGGCTGCTGAAAATTAGCCTTAGGCTAACTCTGGTACAGTGCATCAAATGGTAACATTTATGTTTAATATTTTAAATACAGACAAATAAATTAAATAAATAGATTAAATAAAGGACAAAGTTGTAAAAAAAATATGTAACCTAATATACTGTACTATAAATGCGATGTTTTTTTTCTTGTTTGCAAAGGAAAACCACAATAAACCTGTGAAAATGAAGGGGATGGCATGTAACAAAGGTCCTTGCAGAGCTAAACTGGTGAGGCGATTTCTTGGACTTGGTTTAACAAACTGAGTTTGTCAGGTAATTAATTAGTTTATGGACATAAAGTTAATCACCATGAAGTACCACTTGATTATGTTTATTATGTAAGTAAAAATGCCAGTTGCTTGTCCCAGCTTTGTTTTGCCCAGTGCAGTCTTTTCTCACACTGATATATTATTACAGGTTTTTTTTTTTGCAGTCCTGGACATCATGTGAATCAAGAATAAATAATGTGGCAGTAGTGCTTCACAAAGGTTGGTCTCTCATGTTGGATATTGGATGTGGATTGCTTGATTATTATGATGGCTGGCTGGCCCAGTGTAGAATATCAGGATGTTTGAATGCCTGGTTCACAACCTAGTAGGAGGATACATATCCCCTTTAAATAATCACATGGTCTTGTGTAATGCAGATAACAGGCAACTCAGATATCAAACTGTAACTATCAAAATTAAAACTATACAAGTGGTTTGATTGCTCAATTTATTTTGTTTTTATAAAAGCTTGAGCAATAAGAACCTTGTATAAAGATTTATTCCTGCTGTGATTAAATCAGAGAACAAAAATCAAATTTGAATCACTGATTTTTGCAATAAGAACCATGTTTTTGTGTTAAACTGTAACAGTTTAAGTTAGCATCATGAAAACTAAGAAGAGTCAATTAGATATTGACTCTAGATTAAACTCTATTCAGTGCAGCCATCAATTCAGTCAGCTAATCAATTTGAGTGCATTTGTAAAATAAAATAATGATTCTTAGAATGACTGAAAAATGTAAAAGTGTGTTAATTGAGTTAAATTCCATTTTGAATATGAATAGCATGCTTATGTTTATGCAAAGTTATCACGTATGCAATGTAAGTTCATAACAAGTAACATGTAAAAGCAGATCCAGTCAGCATTTAAGTCTGGACGTGAGGCAGAAAGGCAACAGAAGAGAGGGAATCAGATGGTTACGGTTCACATTTCAAAGGGAAACGTATATATTTAGGAAAGCCACTGAGGGACACATTTGATTATCCCTATTTGTGTTTAAGAGTCTCAATTACAAGCACATTCACTGCAACATCCCCCCTCTACTTAGTGAAGGAGTGACGAGCAACTGCAACAGGGACCCACTTTGTTGTCTATTAATTAAAATTTGTACAATGAATACTGTCAAATGTAGTTCATTTAGTGTTTGTTAACATGAGACGACTATTATGTCATGGCTAACACAATCCACGTGACAAATTCCAAGTATGTGTCCCTCAATAAACATGTGTGTTTAATGGATGAACCATATAAAACCACTATAAAAAAAAGGCTAAATGTTTAATAATGTTATGTCCAATAATAACATGGACACATGAGCCAGGAACAGATAGCATGGGGGGTCATCACTTGATATATGCAACTCTATTTGGACCGTTTGTACTCGCAAAGCAGGTCAGACCAGAAACAGTGAAACTAGAGCCTGGGACAAACGCAACATGATCTACAGCGGTTTATGTTCAGTTTTCAAGTTAGTTTTTTTCTAAATTAACCACAGATGCATAATACAACTCTCACTGGGGTTGGAGTATCTTCTAAGAACAAAAGATAAGTAAACAGTATAAGTCCCACTACAACACAGTCAATAAAACAGTTTTTTTCCTCTTACCTTCATGAGAGGGTATGCCAGAGATGTCTGGGGATCATGGGTGTTGATTCAAGTCCAGAGCGAAGTCAGTCAAACCTATGTGTGGCAGCACCATAACCAGAGCAGTTGAATACAGACTTGTGTGTAGCCACTGGGATACTCTGGTGCGTGCTACACACTCAGGCACTCCCTCACACAGTGTCTGAGCAAGAGGATCCACTCGTGGTCGGAAGCAGCCCGACAGCTGTGCCCAGGGAGATCCAAGAGGCGACAGATAGAGACAGGCGTGCTGCTGGTCTCTGCTCTCTCCTTCTCTCTCTGTGTGTGTCAGCCTGCAGCTCCCACTCTCTCCCCCAATCCCCTCTCTGTTGCTCTGCTCTCACTCTCTACTTAAATCTCTTTCTTGCACACACATGCTTTCTCCACACTGCATCTCCCCCCTCCCCTCTCTCTCTCTCTCTCTCTCTCTCTCTCTCTCTCTCTCTCTATACACACACCTCTCTCTCTCTCTCTCTCTCTCTCTCTCTAATACACACACCTCTGTCATTTTTTTTTTGTCTTCACACAGCCTGCTCTCACTGAAGCTCCCTACATACAGAATTCCTTTCAGAAGGATTTAATATCTCAACCAGTCTACACTCATCTTTTAATGTTTAACAGACTAAATCCTTTTATTCTCACATTTGTACCTCAACCCCTGGACATAAACTCCTCCTTGACAGTGTTTCACCTTGCTGTGAAAACATGCTCATAGGACCCCCTAATATTATTTCTAATTGTTGGACTTTATACATGAGCAGGATAGAGGCACGGAAGAGGGAAAGACCAAGACAAAAACAAAGAAACAAAGGGATAATGATATGATACAAAATGCATATCTGGATGTGGAGAGCAATGTGGGGTAAGGAATTGAGACTGGGGCATGGGTTTTGTCTTTGAAGTGCAAATGAAAGCAAAATGTCATGGTTAATCTTTGCTAGCGAGCAGTTTTTTGCCACCAGCAAAGGCACATAGTGTGTGTACTCTTGCTCTGTAGTCCGTTCGAATGCAATTTCACAACGCACTGGAGGATCTACTGGAAGCCTCATTCATTAAAAAAAAAAGAAAAGACTTAGCATTAGTCTTCATTTCTTGGTTAGACAGGCAGGGAATCAATGCATGCATGACCTTAAAGAATCCTGTTCATATGCTGTATAATGAAAATGGTAGTACTATTGCATCCATTCAACACTAGCAGACTGAAATGGACAACACATAGTAGTTACAGTCATGAAAGGGTTGGATTTTGATTGAGTTAATTTTAGCCAATAACTATCCAATAAATGTGCCCGGATTGCCCCCCATACCACTCTGGATATTTCTATTGTTTAATGTATTGATTTAGTCATTTATAATAGCAACATGGACACATTTTTTTTTTTTTTTTTTTTTTTTTTTTTTTTTTTTTAATTATTTTTAAAGCAGGGGTAAAAAAACCATCAAAAACTGAGAAACAGTACATAAAAAAAAAAGTGCACAACTCTTCCAGTACACTGTGTTCATTCCCCCCCAAACTCCATATCAAGTGAAGGCAATGTGGCCAAAAACATTTTCTCTGATTTAACACACTAAAGAGGAGTCACGCAACCTCAATTATATGCCTATTGCTTTGAAACAGTTTTATTTTCACTGAAAATAATCTTAAAAGGGAAAATTCTTTTAAAAGGATTTAAAATTTTTTTTTGTAAAGGGGAAAAGGGAACCAGCCCACCCACACCCCCCCCTCTGGCCATGTCTGCTGTGTCTTGTAGTCCTGTGTGACAACTTAAAAGACGCCAGTGATGTTTACAACATTACATTGGTAAATTTGACATAACCATTTCACACACTGCATGGGAGCAGATACAGACCAAATGCACAATGGATAACACATGCAGACACATGTGTATTTTAAAACTCCTGAAGGCAAGGTGTGACAAGACAAAGTCTTTGTCTCCACCATCTGCTGGCTTCTCTTCTAAAAGAGTGTGGAAACAACATCAGATGTAAATTTTCTAGAAAATTTAGAAAGTAAAATGTAGAAAGTAACTTGCTATTGGTGACAAGGCCATCAGCTCAAGTCTACATACCCCAAGCATGGGCACCATAAATTAATCTTTGGCCACCCCCCGGCCCCCCCACCACCCATATGGACGCACTTCAACAGCGCACCTCAAACAAGTACTTCTCCACCCAAACTGAACGTGGCGGTAATACACTCAACTTGAATTTCAACCACCAACACAATTACAGAAATAGACGAAGTAGTGTTGTTGTTTGTGTGTGCTCCAAGGGACTTTGCACGTGCAGTAGGAGGACTGTCTGTTTCCTGCCGACAGAGAAGAGGTCACAGGTAAGTTAACAAGCAGAATTAAGTCCCTCCCTCAGAAGGAAATTCCATTTATTGATTTTCATTGCTAAAGCTCTAATGGGTAAATTACCCCTCTACATTTCAAATTTGCTTTCTTACCATAACAGTGTTTACAGGACAAGGTCATCAGAAAAAATGCTATTAGTTATTCCACCAACAAGAACAGAACTTTCTCATCATATGCACCAAATGTCTGGAATGAATTTCAGAACACCCTAAATCTAGAATCACTTCCACCTTTCAATACTTTTAAAAACCTTTTAAAGTCAACTGTGACAGAACAGTGTAATTGTTTTTAACTAGGTGCCCTTTAAGTTGTTTGTCTGTATTAGCTTAAGTTAAGTGTAATGTCTTGTTTGTGTTCTAGTACATATAGTGTATGTACAGAGATTTGTGGTGTAGTATGTAACCTTTGTCCTGTCTTTTATGTATATTTTTTTGAAACTTTTTGCCGCTAGTCTTGGCCAGGACTCCCTGGGAGAAGAGTTACTGTAACTCAATGGGACTTTTCCTGGTTAAATAAATAAAAATAAAAAAAGGTTACTATATTTTGGTTATGCACCTCTCAGGCAAACTGAAGAGGAAAATTACTTCCTACTTCGTCAGTCAGTGTAGTAAGCCGAGTAATGAGAGGAGGGAAAGTGGTGTGGAGAAGGAGATGCAGGATGACAGTGATGAGACAGAGTCAGACATTGAAGGAGAGCGCTCATCTGTTGCTCTTCATGGAAGTGAACATACAGGTACAGTACACCTGTACTACCCCTGTGCTACCCCTGTGTGAGCTATGGTCTCAGTCTGGCCACCCCTATGAAAATTGTCTGGCTCCACCACTGGCCCCAAGCAAAAGCATAAATCATGAGTAGACTGAAAAACAAACAAAACCCTGCGGCAGCCCCGTGGAGCACAGAAAGCTATCATGTGTTCTGACTTTGACATCATGGGAAAGGCCACTTTTGTTGCCTGGAAATGTTGCACGTTTGACAAGTTTTTTTGTTTTTTGAGTCTACTTGTTACCTCTGTAAAAGGAAGTTATGTTTTTGGTGCTTTTTGTTTGTCTGTTAGCAGGATTACGGAGAAACTAATGGCCTGATTTTCATGAAACTTGGTAGAACTGTGTAGCATGGGCCGAGGAAGACCCCATTAAATTTTGTAGCATATCTGAATCACAGAGCAGATACACAAATTATTTTTCGCTTTAGTCAACACTGCGAGAGAGGTCAGTTGTAATACATAAGTGGTTGTTGCAGATTTGCATATTATAGAAGACATTCTGATATTTTCAACCTGTTTACACAGTTTAAGTGTTCTTTTCTTTAATTGGCATCAACATTTCAACATCAGCACTCCTGTGATCACACATTGGCATCCCAGTTTACACATTTTTGTTTAATTAATAGACCAGCCATTATTTCTGTGGTACCAGTAGGCAGTGCACATATTTTTTTATTCATCATTGTTAATTTCCAGGCATCTTTCTCATCATCATGTATCATCTAGGTTGTCATGCATCATGATTCCGCTTTAATGCACATGCATAATGGGGAAAGGCACATTTCACTGATCATATGAAAACAGAGCCTCAAATGATAAACTGCACTTCCAGTTTAGTATGCCGCACACATCTATGGGTGCAGACAGCATGTAAAAGGAGGTGCAAATGGTTTAGTAAAGAGTTTTGTAAATCTAGCCAACGTTTTTACAAACTGTGCACTTCTGGTCTTGTGGTCCACAAGAATGTGTTGTGTCTTGTGTAGTTTTGGTTTAATTCTGAGTTAATATCAGCATTTTATCAGCTTGCCAGACATACAGTATATTGACCACATGAGACCATAATGCCTATAAACTCCTTAAATCTGCATTAGGTAACTTTTATTAAAAACATTTTAGGCATATTTCCTGAAACCTTTATTATATCCTGCCAGTATTACATGAGACAGATAATCTATGAAAAAATCAGTTTGCCCTGGCTCTTCCTAGTACTCCTAATGGCATTGGCAAGAATCCACCGGGCCTGAACAAAAACAACCCATCAGAGCCAAGAAAGATCGCACAGATTTCATTTATTTGCATTGAGTCATATGGTGTGCTGCCCTCTACTGATCAGGGCTAATTCTGTATTCAAGCACATTCTTCAGTTGAGCACAGATGGACAATGCATGTATTTCTGCCAAGCTTCTGCCTTGCAGACTATTTGTCTGTAAGTAATATGTGTAAATAATTAGAAAACACACGCCTTTTATTAAAGAATGTCATGTTAGAAACGTTTCTATTGTTTTGGTAAAACATGTGCTCTGCTAGCTAGCATGCAACAGTAGCTAACTCTGTTCAGTGACTGACTTTGTCACTTAGCTGTTGTGGTGAGCTGTATATTTTTACACAGTACAGTGCAATCTACTTGAATTGCAGTTAAATTGCACAAATCTTTTTTTTTCAAAGCAGTTAGCTTTTGTTTCACACCTACCTTTATACCATGAAAATTCTTGCATGGTAAACTGTAATATTAAGATTTTACAGTTTTATTATGTAAATGTTAACAGCTAAACATGTTAAATATCTGACACTTGTCATAATTCTGCATTGCCTCATGGTAGTAATACCAAAAAGGCCACCCCGTTTTGAAATTCAATAAAATGGCATTCTGAATGGTCTTTGATGTTGAAGAATAGTTTTTATGTTGTACTATAGATTTAAGTTGTGTGGGAAAAAGATGCAGTTAAATTTTTATTGAATGAAGTTAACATCGCAACTTAGATTAACTATTCCTGGAAAAAGTAACGTGGCTGCCTTAAAAAAATAAGTTAATCCAGCAGTTTTATTACTATGTTTACACAACAACAAATTCTAAGTTAATTGTACAACATGCTTAGTTTGAACAACTTTTTTGTTAGGTTTGTACAACTCAAGATATCGTTCCAAGTTTGTTGCTTTTACTGGTCATTTTATGTTGTCTAAACTAGGATTTAGGTTTGTACAACTTGAAATATCTTGTTGGTATCACTAAAAAAACTTGATTAAACTTAAAATCTAAAGTTGA